GCGCCACCACGCCCAGTCTCAATTGCTGCCTCAGTGCACCCCCAGCCCCTGCGCCTGCTTGCAGGCCCTTTAATCTGCTGAGCTATCTGGCCGGCCCTGGAAATGTTGCCTCTTTCCTCTCCCCCATCTCCGGTCTCCTTCATCCTCTTCCTTCTTCCTGCTTCTCCTGCTACTGTTCTTTGCTTCCTTGTCTACTATTTTTCTCTCTCTCCCTCTATTCTTCCCTCCCTGTTTTCCTTCTACTACAACATTTTATCACTTTTTAAGCCGTGATTCACTAGCCTCATAGTAATTCTCTTGATTTGAATCTATAGTATCCTTAGCGAGAATCTCTTCCTAATACATACTATATCCAGGTAAAGTCACCAACTTGCACTGTGTACTTGTGGAGCACTGTTATGTGAACATCGGTAAGTCATTGGCCGCTATGAGATTATACAGATTTAAAGATTTAAAAAACATAGTTGTCAGGGAAACATTTCCTTGAGCAAATGATACTGACAAATGAGCTATTTTACCAAAAGAATTTAAAATGAATACCCGATTTAAATTCATAAATATTCTACATAACTCTAAGAATTTTAGTATCTACTAGAAACATGCAATGCAAAATTAAAAGTGGGAAGAGTCAGTAAACACACAACTCTTAGAGTTATCGGAGAGTATTGGTGGCAGGCTTCGTTGGAGGAAGGGAGGCTCACTAAGCTCTCGGCTCTGGGCGTTGCAGGGCTCAGGGCGTGCACTTTGCCTGGTGAGGGGTTTGCAGGGTCCTGGCAGTGAAAGCAGGCCAATCCGGGCGCCTGGAGGGCTCCTCCGTCTCGCTCCGCCTCCACCACAGTGCATCCTCATCACAGTGATGACCCAAGGGCTTCCCACCAGGCCCACCCTTGCCTGTCTGCCTCCCCGGGGACCAGTCTTCTAGTTCAGGACACTGAGAGGTCATCTCCAAAGATGATTTTATTGATGACTAGCAATTTACATTGCTTTAGCTCATTTGCATAGATCATTTGCGGCTTAGTGATATCTTTGCGTGCTTGCTGTGTTTTGAAATGCAAAAGAATCTCCTTGTAACATAAATGTGCCAATCATTCTTTATCAATCATTATTTCATGCTGAATAAAGATTCCATTAGCCAAAATGACATAGAGTTTTGTTATAGTGCATTAGATTTTTATATGTAAGAATTTTGAGTTGATTTTCTTGTGATATACCCCACACAACATAAGAGACCATTCTAAAGCACATAGCTCGCTGAGGAGATAGCTCAGCAGCATAAGCTCCTACCTGGCAAATGCAAGGACCTGAGTTTGATCCTCAGTACAGCAATAATAATAATAATAATAATAATAATAATAATAATTATACAGCTCAGTGGTTTATAGCAAATTTGCAAATTTGTGTAGCCACTGCAGCTATCACTCTTCCATGGCTTATGGCTCCTTCTAGCAGTCGTTGTCCGAGCCTCACCCCTAAGTCTCTATGCATGGTACCTACTTGTCTGTAGGTATGGCTCCACTGGACATTTCACGTAATTGAACTGATAATGTGTGACCTAACTCCGTAACCTGGCTTTTTTCATTTATCATAGCATTTCTAGTACTTATCTATACTATAATATAAACCAGTATCATCTTGGTTTTTATTGCCAAGTAATATTCTATTGTGTAGATATAACACATTGTGTTAATAAACACAATGTGGTGCACACTTACATATTTTTTCACCTTGTGACCGTTAAGTGTAGCTGTCAGCATTTGCATGCAATTTGTGTGTAAGAGGTTTTTATTCTTTCGGTATACATGTAGGAGCAGTGTACAGCTCCTAGTCATCAACAATTGTTTGACTTTGGGAGGGACTGCTGAACTGTCTACTGAAGCTGATGCATAACTTAATATTTATCAGCACTGTTGATGGCTCCAGCATTTCCTTCTCTTCTCGAAAGGATTATTACTTTCCTTCTTTTTTATTTTTGCCAACCTGGTGAACATGAAATTGAATTTCCTTTACACATCTTTTCATATGCTTATTGTCTGTTTTTGAAACTTTTGAAAGAATGTCTATTTAAATTCTTCACCCATTGTTTTAATTGAACTAGTCTCTTTTCATGGTTGGATTGTAATACCTCTTTATATAAACTGGACATAGAACTTTTACCACAAAAATGATTTAAAAAATATTTTTGCCCAGTTTTTCAGGTATCTTTTCCTTTTCTCCATAGTGTCCTTTGGTAAGAAAAAAAAAGTTTGCCATATTGATTAGGTCTCATCTTCTTCTATTGCATGCATTTGCTGTGTGTAGCCACTAAATCCCCAAAATTGTTGCTCAGTTTTCTTAACAGTGAAATGGAGACTGTACAGATATTTGATTACATGACTGAGTCAGCATACTCTTCTCTGCTGTAAGTACTTTATTCCTATTTTGAGGTACATATCAACGTTCCTACAGGCAGCTGACAACTAGCCTTGGCCTTCACTGCCTGCTCGTGCAAAGCCTGAAGTTATTCATGGATGAGATGATGAGATTTTAGGGCTTCAAGACTTCTTGCATGGGTGCACAATCCTGCAAATTGGTGAGGCCTCCCACTCAACTAGGGCTATGTGACACATGCAGATAGGTCTGTAGACTTCCAGTTCCCATTTTCCTTTTCAGGGTTTTAGTTCTTGCTTGCTTGTTTTTGACTTTTTGGTTTGGTTGGTTTGCTTTAGTTTTGGCTCAGGTCTTATTCTGGTTTTTGATCCTCCCATCCTAGTCCCCAGCTGGTCACATGGTCTCTTGTTGCAGGAGGTGGCAATGTTAAGACAGGTACCACTGCTCTTCCATGAGGCTTTAGTGACAGGCTGTTCATACACAGGGAAGTCTACACTGTGCTCCAGAGTCATGAAAATGTAAGTGTCTGAGAACTGTCACACTCACCACCTGGGACCACTCCAGAAAAGGCAGGGCCACCCCACCCAGCACTGCCTGCATCTTCTCTGGTGAAGGCTGCGGGTGCTGAGGTCTGCACAGGCTGTCCCTTGGAGGCGGAAGCCCAGCTAAAGTCGCACTTCTTTCCATTCTCACTGAGTTCCATGTACTTACTTAAAAAGTATGATGCAATTTTATCTTGTTTAGTAGCTGAATAATACTCCATTGTGTAAAAATACCACCTCTCTAACCATTCCTCAGTAGATGGGCATCTGGGTTGCTTCAAGGATTTAACTGTGACAAATTGTGCCCCTGTAAACACAGGTGCACAGCCATCACTGTGGAATGACGTTTCAGCTCTTCTGGAAAAATACCCAGGAGGGGAATAGCTTGCTTGAGTGGGATGTCCAACCCTAGCTTTTTAAGAAGTCCCCACACTGATTTGCATAGTGGTTGTACAGTCTACACTCCCACCAACAGTGGAGAAGGGTTCCTTTTTCTCCACAGCCCCCTCCAGTATTAGCTGTTGGCTGACTTCTTGATGACAGTCATTCTTCCTGGGCTGAGATGGAATCTCAGTGTTGTTTTAATTTGCATTTCTCATATGACAAGTGATGCTGAACATTTTTTCATATGTTTACTAGCCATTTGTATTTCTTCATCTGAAAAGTGTATTTCATCTCAGATGCCCATTTTTGGATTGGGTCTTTGAATTTGGGGGTCCTGATTTTTTAAAAATTCTTTATATGTTCTGGATAGAAGGTCTTCATTGGAGAGACTGTCAGTTGTGATTTTTTCCAGTTTGTCAGTAAGTGAATTAACTTGAGACCATACTCTCAAGTGAAATAAATCAGACCCGCATATGCAAACATCATGTAGTCTCTTTAGCGTAAGAACGTTAGAGAAGAAATGGAATCTGAAGGGTACAATAGATACTGGGAAAAGGGAATCAACTTATTCAGAGGGGTTACTGAGTTGAGACAGGAAAGGGAGTGTGAGAAAGCACTGTATCCATGCACATAAGCAGGAGTTTGGACAACTGTACTTCTACTGGTCAATGGAAAGGAGCGGGTAGTGCTTACTTTGTCTTGTCTTATTTTTTTTCAATTGTCTGTCCTTTTCCTGTTACTAATTTCTTTCCTCATCCAATTTTGCATGCATGTATCTGGTAATATGAATAATTAGTTAGAAGACAACACTATGCATGACAATAAATACTATGAAAGTTGGATTACTCTCCTAAGTGAAATTCTGTATCACTTATAATTTTTCTATTTTAATACTATTTTGTACTCTCTTTTAAAGAAAAGTTTAAAAAATATAACGCAGACTGGTGGAAGCATTCATTTCCAGAGGTTAGGAAAAAAAAGGGATTTCTGAATATTTTCCCCAGGCTTTTATGGAAGAGATTTTTCTGGTTTTTACTCTCCTTCTTGGTTTGAGTTTGATAAGCACTGTGTGATTCTTTCACTTTCCAAAACAATTCTGCATTTGTTTCCCGAAAGTTTAAATAGTATGGCCGTCTCATCCTGAATGTCTCTAAGCTTCAAAAAATATATCCTGGCGAGTAGTATAGAGTATACACTTATGCATATTGAAGTGTTTGTTTCGGTTCATAGTAAAGGAGAAAAAAGACAGATAGACAGACAGTCCTGGTCTGTGATAAAGCTATGTACTTTTTTACATGGCTCAGACTACTTTAGTCCCTGCTTTTCTTGGTAAATATATAATTAAATAACATAAAAATCAGTGAACACCTACTGTGTGACAAACATAGTCACCAGCTCTTTGTTTTAGATATAAGACAGAAACATGTTATGAATTTATTCATCTGAAGAATATAAACTAAACTAGAACAAATATGTGGAAATTGACTTATATAAACTCATATTTCAAACAAATATGAAAAATCTGTATTATGCGTGATATCCTCTTAAACAAATGATATCTTAGAAAAATGGTAATCCAAGGACCTTCACAATGATATTATTTTGATAATTTTAAAACAATATTTTAGTGTATCTGTTTTGCTTATTAATACAGTGAAAGTTTGAAAATGCCAACACATTTATTTCACTTTGTTTAATTTTCCACAGGACTTTGGAGATGATGGGTCTTTGTACATTACCAAGGTGACCACCACTCACATGGGCAATTATACCTGCTACGCAGACGGCTACGAAAACGTCTACCAGACTCACATCTTCCAAGTGAATGGTAAGCAGTGTGGCACTGCTGTAACCCTTTCAGCTTTGTGGGTTTTTAAAAATTTTTGCTTCACTTGACATTCAGAGAGCATAGCTTCCATATTTAAATTTTGGTAAAACTTTTAACTTTGTTTTGGGATTTGTGTAAAACCTTTTAAATAAAAAAGTGCCCAAATGAATATACACTATGAATTAGGAATAAGTAATACTTTTGTCATTATAAAAGAATTAGACTAGCTCATTTTAATTGGAAAACTATACAAAATTTAAATTAGTTTTTTTAGTGTATCAACAATTCTGCAAAACAGATTTTAGAAACTTCAAAAGCAATTTAAAAATTTTAATCAAATCATGTGTTTAGTTGGGTCTTATTGATGTTGTAGGAAATGCTTAATTTTTTTTTTTTTTTTTTTTTTTTTGGGACCGGGGATTGAACTCAGGCCCTTGTGCTTGCCAAGGAAGCGCTTATTCTACTGAGCCATCTCTCCAGCCCTGGAAATGATTAGTTATATACAGCAAAGTTTATACTGTTGATGGCTTATTTAACGGTCATGATGTCCATTAAATATGCTGTCACTCCCACAACAATATGATTTGCTAATGAACACTGCATCAGTTCCACAATTGATTGTGTCATATGTGTTTACATACTCTGATCTGTAAGAAAAACAAACAAACAAACAAATGTGCCCACCTTCCTGTGGAAAGAGTGAGATGGCCAGTGTGATTTTCATGAAGAGGGGAGTAGCAGATCATGAATTTGGAAAGTAGGGTGGGATAAGATCACCCAGAGCCCTGTGGGTTTAAGCACATATCTGGATCTCAATTATAACTCTAATGCAAAGCATAGAAAGGGATCAGTATATCAGAGAATGCATTCTGATGGATTTTAAAATGAATGATCCATTTAAGAACTATATTAGTTTTCTGATGAGAGAGCAGTTGCTGAAAATGTAGTGGCAATGGTGGGGTGATATGGAAGTGGTCCAATTGGAATATATTTTGAAGTTATGTCTGACATTCATTGAAAAATATCGTGTGTGTGCAAGAGGAATGGAATTTTTAAAAAACCGAGCCTAAGGAATTTAAAGAAAGTAGTTAGTATGTGTTTGTACGATTCACTGTGGTAAAAAAAGAAACAGTTTGGAGACTGAGATTCATTTCATCAAGTTAATAGTTATGCAATTATTGGTGAAAAGTCAAATGTTCAACCAAGCAAAAACTCAAAGCTGCATTTAGAAAACCTTAATGCACGTGGATTACACTCTGAGCTGTTGCATACATTTGAGGAAAGTGTGCAAGTGGGCACAAAGCCAGAAGACAGAACCTTGGATCTGAAATTAACAGATGACTGAAAGAGGTCTGGGGGTCAAACCCTGCCCTGCACACTGATTAAGAAAATGTTTTAAAATATTAAAATATTAGAGATTCATGTTTATCCTTGTTAACACTCAACAGAAGCAGATTGGCCCTGGTTTCCAGGGCAAAGCCAGGAGGTCGTTAGACAGGTGAAGTCTTTGACCTCAGCTTCAGGGAAATCAGGGAAGAAGGCAGCCAGGCTGTGCGGAACCAGTCGTTAGCAGCTGGACTGCTGCAGCTGCTGCGACTACCGAGTCTACATTGGGATGCTTCCTGTCAGGGCAACTGTGAAGACTAGTCTGGCCATTTTTGTTGGTGACTGTTTACCAACTTCTGGCCTTGACGAGTCTAATGTGCTCATGTGTGCTTTCTTTTGATAGTTACAGAAATTCTCTAGTAAAGTCTATTGCTAATAGTTCTTCTTTTCTTTTAACCTCACACTCTGTTCTAGTTCTTTTCATCTCAGTACTTGATATTTTTTTAAAACTACATGGTTCATATCATTTGAAAATTTAAAAAAGCACAGTTCTTGATTTTCTCCATGCCGAGTCCAGGGCAGGCTTCCTGCTGGCGAGGCAAGTGCGGGGAGCGCTGGGGAATGCAGCACACATGGCTCCTTCCTGTGACGCTGCTGCCGTCCGGGACAATGTGCTCGATCTCAGGTTTTCTGAAGATGGAATACAGGATAATGGCACCTCTGACAGACGCCCTCCCCCAGGGTTTACACATGCACTGACTGAAAGGAATTCAGTGTCAACAGTGACTCCCTATCCAAACTGTAGCTCCTCCCCTCTGCTGGGCTAAAGATCTCTGCAAAGGTCTCTGGCAGCTAGTAAAGCTTGTCTCCCTTGAGTCCGTGGACGCTGAATTCCTTGACATCGAGGCCTTCATGTAGAGTTGGGCTTGGGGAGAAGAGCAGCGGCAGCAGCACTGCTGGAGAGAAAACAAGGGCGGGTGCAATTTTAAGCAGCAGACTTTTAGTACATGTACGCAAGTGTTGTGCTTTGTAAGATGACTGTATCTCAAGTATGAGAAAGAAAGTTATGGCTGAAGGAAAATAAGAGACAGTGGAGTGAGGAACTAAATGGCTCTGGTGTTATCCCGGTGCAGGAGAACATCAGCCGCAAGTAAGGCGGTAACTGCCATAGTTCCCATGCGTGGCATCCAGGGAGACTGGAACACTCACAAGTGTAGGCACTCATGTGACAGAAAGAATCCAGGAATGAGAAAAGCAGATAACACAGGAGGAAATGGGCAACCGCAATAATAAAACACTTAAATTAAAAAGTTGATGTGCCTTCACATACAAATGGAAGAATTGGTCTTCAGTGGATGAACAAAGAGCTTGTCAGTGGAAGGAGCAAAGAGACTGGGAAAACGTGCTGCGAGTTGGGGATTAAGGACAATCTCCTGGCAGCGCTTGGATTGCATTTCAGTAAAAGAGGACTTGCTGACAGTGAAGAGTTTGTGAGAATAAAGTGCGCTGAGGAGAGGACAAGATAGGAAATGATTATCTCACAGAGCAAGAGGGCCATGAAAGCTGCAGCGTGTCCCTGGCATAAGGACCTGAGCTGAGAGGTCACTGAGGCGGTGGGCATTGGTATGCTTCCACCCTTGCTCTGACTGCAAAGTGGAAGGCAGTCCAGCAGATCTGGGCCTAACAAATAGTTCATTTGTCAGGTGAGTAAATAGGAGGGAAGTTAATGAACTTTACAGATACAGTGGTTACCTCGGTGGGCCACAGAGCAGGTGAGAGGAAAGTACAGAGCAGGTGGGAAGGACCACAGAGCAGGAGCAAGGGACCACAGAGCAGGTGGGAAGGACCACAGAGCAGGTGCGAGGGACCACAGAGCAGGTGGAAGAGAGCACAGAGCAGGTGGGAGGGAGCACAGAGCACGTGGGAGGGACCACAGAGCAGGTGTGAGGGACCACAAAGCTGGTGGGAAGGACCACAGAGCAGGTGCGAGGGACCACAGAGCAGGTGGAAGAGAGCACAGAGCAGGTGGGAGGGACCACAGAGCAGGTGGAAGAGAGCATAGAGCAGGTGGGAGGGAGCACAGTGCAGGTGGGAGGGACCACAGAGCAGGTGGAAGAGAGCACAGAGCAGGTGGGAGGGTGCACAGAGCAGGTGGGAGGGACCACAGGGCTGGGGGGAGGGACCACAGAGCAGGTGGGAGGGAGCACAGAGCAGGTAGGAGGAAGCACAGAGCCAAGGCTGTGAGAAATGTGACATGGAGTGGGAAGTTGGCTAGCCTTTTCAAGATGGCCAGTTATTTGTAGATGAAGTACAGGGACAAAGTTAGGTGACAGCTTTGCTCCAAATAGTTCTCAAGGCATCTGGCAATTTCTGTTTGTAAGAAGTCCTTACAATTATCCAAATTAATACGGAGCAGTCTATACCCTCTAAAGTTTCCTAAGTGTGTAGGGAGCTCAACTTGACTTCAAGGTGTAATTTTCCAGTGTCGGCCTTGGCAATACAGGGAAATATGGTATGGACTCCTAATGATTCTTCAGCTTCGTCCATCATAGGTCAACATTCAGTGCATTGCACTGGTTTCACAGAAGGGAAGGCAATGCCTGCATCTCAGGGATCACTTGCAGTGCATAAGCCTGTTTGAGGAAGCTGGACCACAAAGCAGAAGATGAATTCTGAGGTGGTTAAGGAGACATTACCTTTCAACTGCTGTCCAGAGATCCAAGCAGTGGGAGTTCAAGATAAGAAAATATTTTCCTTACACATAAAGGGGTGGTTGTGATATAGGGGAAAATATAATTCCCAAGCTGCCAGATATCAGATATGCTGGGTTTCTGCCCCTGAAATGAAAGAATGAGTTCTAAAGGACAAGTTAGGTTAGAGTAGGAAAGGTTTATTGGTGAGCAGAAACTGCTTCTGAGGGACAGGAGGGGTCTGGGAAGTAGACTGCCACTGAGGCCCTCAGTCAGGTGCAGTCCATACAGCGAAGTCAGAATGTGGGCACAGTGTGTCTTGAGCTAGAACCAGCCATAGGATTGCAAGTATAGCTATTCAGCTAATATTGGTACGATATGGGGAAGCCGGACACGGAGCAAGGGCACCTGGAAGAACAAAGGTCACTTCAGAAGGGATCAGTCTGGAGGTTCTGTCCCGCACCCGAGTGACTGATGTTCACCTGGGCTTTACCGGACAGGTGACACCAACTGTAGTACACCCTCATAATGGAGTAATGACTTTTTATACTGAAAAACCTAGAAACAGCATTTAGTTGCAGAAAAGCAGCCCTAATACAGTGCTTTTCAGCACTGCCCTTTCCTTTGGTTTTGTGGTATTCTGCGCTGGGCATGATGGTTGGGATATATGTTTGGTATAACCAAGCATAGTAAACTTGGGATTACTCGGATGTTGTAGGCTGAGAACAGACACAGACTAGGGGTGAGGAAGACCGGAAACTTGGTGCAGTGCAGGGAAATGCCAATTAAGAGCACATTTATGGACCCAATAAATCTTTGAAACTTAGCTTTACTTTCTTTTTTTTTCTTTTTAACACTTTCAGCAAAGGCTAAGAGACTTTTAGAAAGTCAAAGTTTTATGTGCAATTTAAAATACTCATGTTAACAACTTATCATTTAATACTAGAAATAAAATATATTGATTGCTATAATAATTCCTGAAAA